GGTCAGAATAATAGACCTCATGTCCGTTTTGCCATTTCATCTTAAATTTGCGTTGGATGATATTAACTGCTTGTAGAAAGACAGACTTCTTAGCATCTCAAAATGTTTGCTGCGTTTACCATAAACTATTACCCATTGACGTAGACAAAAAAACACATTTCTTCTGTTTTTATGACACTTCCAGCAAAATGTAAGTTCAAAAATAAGTCAAACGATTTGAACTTTAAATGTAAGCTTTATACAAGTCGCTGCTGATCTATCGCTGACGATCGTGTTCGTGAAGTGTCGAAAGATTTTTGTCAAACTCTTCCGTTTACAGTTCTTACTTGAGGGATATGATGATCTTAACCCATTTAAGCCTGTGCTGGTACTAGTCACGCTCGTTATTTCATCGGTTCACGCCAAACATTTTGCACGTGGTACTTGGAAGCAAACTCAGGGTTTTTAAAGTAACGCTTGAAAATGCACTTCATTGGGTAGAAAGTCTCGAGCACATGGAAAAATGAAATATATAACCTTGGGAAAATCACCCAGTTTTAAACTATTCAGACTCTGAACGTTCTTCGTAAATTTCCTTTTAAGGTCATAATTTTAATCCTCGGAGAACGGATCTCGCTATCATTTTAGCTAAATCTTTTTTTTTCTGCCGGTGATTATTATATTTTTAATTTTTGTATTTTCAAGGGAATAACTTATAATACCACAATTATGCGAAAAAAATGTAGGTCACTGTGCTCATTCAAGAGCAATTTAAGACCACTGCATCAGTTAACCTCGTCTATCGGCCAAAAAGAAAAACAATTCACCATGTTCTCGGAAATCGGGGATGTCTACTTTCTATTGTTCTTTAATACGAAAAGTTATAAACAAAAAACATTTCCCAGGTGATTACTACGGGGGGAGGAGTTAGCGGTTACTGCAAGGTTTAAGTTCACGTTCCTTTTAATGGGAAAAGTTGTAAAGAAACTGCAGACCTTAGGGGAAAACAAGAATGTTGTCTTAGATAGGATAGAGAGTTACCTGGAAAGTATACCCTGATACACTTAAGTAATAAGTTCCGCTTGAGGTCCTTCCCACTGCATAGTGACTCTTGCAGGATGTGGCGGTTGCAACTTAATAAGATTCCATCATCAATTGTAAAACGCATGGAGGAAAAATAAAGAAAACATACAGGTGTATTGATTTTTTTACGTTACGTACAGCAGTTAGGTTCATTGAAACTTGAGTTTTTCGCTCGACTATTATTTCAATTCATAACTTACGCCATTTATCTGCCCTTTTTGTGCTCATCCCTTTTTCTATTTATCCCAAAAGTTTTCAAAAAGGAATTGACATTCCAACGTCCTAATTAAAGCCATATGAAAGTTTCCTTAGAAAAAACACCAATTAGCATACCTTCACATCGTGATCCTGAATGATAGCTGGAACACGCACAAGTAAAGTTATATACGCCATCTATGCAAGTTCCACCGTTTTGGCAGGGATTGGACTGACATTCATCCGTTTCTAAGTGACGAAATAAATGACACTTTATACATTTTATACACCAAGATCTATTAAACATAAGTCTTTATATATTCATGCATTGTTCCTGAGATGTTAGAGGAATCTAGCTCTAAATGAAACATTTTAAAGTCAAAACTTCTGATTCAGTCTACTCTTTCCGTGATGTGGAAATTAGTTTTATAGGTTTTTCAGTCAGGAGGTCGTGTTAAATCCTGACCGTGATTTGCATCGAGTAACCCAGCTTCACCTTGACGTTGTCCTCTGCTAAAATACTCTTAAGCCACCAATCTTGTTAAAGATTTCATGATGTGTTAATTTACCATATGCAACGTCCTTTATCTATAATGTTGGACAGTTAGAGTTAACTAACTTGAGCAACTCGCGCAAAGTATGGGAGTCTACTCAGGAACTTTGTTTCACTCTCTGAGACTCAGAACCTCTTCTAATAATTCAGCTCCTAAGTACACACTCTTCAATACCCCATCGGTAGGCATATTTGGGCCTACGAGATAACTGACCTTGGCAAAATAAACATATTTTTAGAGCGCCAACCAGAACAATCTCACAAGACAGTCGATATGAACAACAAAGAACTTAACAATAACCAATCTTCGAGAACTAAAAAGCTAAACAAAACTCCCCGTTGAGGACTCTAAGCAAGGTCAAAGACAAACCTAAATACGACTAATGATGACAATTATCGTACGAGAATTAAGAGGGTGTCTCTGTAAGAGCGGTCCGGTCGATTTTGCTTGAGACACGG